CTGTAATAACCAAGGAAATTAAATGCGTCTTGCACTTTACCTCAAATTTTTAGCAAAAGTTACCATACCAGTAGCTTGTCGTGCTTCACCTCAAAGTATCTGCAATACCTGAGCGTATCCAAGGCATTAAACACTCAACCTCAGGAAATTTAGGATACCTGAGAAGATCAACGGTGTATTTAACCTCAGGGAATCTACGCTACCTTTTCAAATCAAAGGCATATAATTATTTACCTCTGGATATTTGTATAAGCAATAAAAAATTGAAGAAGTATTGTATTTCGCCTCAGATATCCATGTTAATAAAAACATCGAAAGCATATTACATTTGACCTGAGAAACTCCGTGAAACATAAGCAAATCAAGAGTGAAAGGCATTACACCTTTAAAAATAATCGATAAGTAAAAAAATCTAAGGTGTATCAAATTTTACCGAAAGTAATCGGCGATAACTAAACAAATCAAAAAAGTATCGCACTTTACCTCAAGATATTAGCAAAAGTTGTAACAATAGTGGCTTATCACGCTTTACCTGAAAGTATCTTCGATAACTTAGCGCAACCAAGGTGAATCACGTCTTACCTTAGGTAATCTACGATATTATGATATTTTAGAAAATCGAAGGCATATCACATTTTACCTGTGGAAATCTGCATAAGCGAACAAATTAAAAAAGTATCGTGTTTTACCTCAGAGATAAGTATGAGTTCGAGTTTAGTTTTTGGAGTTCTACAATAGTTGAGGCAATTAAAGTTGTATTACCCTGTACCTCAAGGAATCTGCGATATTCAAGTAAATCTAAGGCTTATTGCATTTCATTTCAAAAATTGGCTATAAGTAAGGAAATCAGGGAGGTATCATGTTTTATACACGAACGGATGTTTTATTTATTCTGTGGTTAGTGCCGAAAAACACAGCTGCTATTGATTGTAAAGAATTATTTTTCATTCTTGAATTCATTATTTTAGTATATTGATTTAATTTCATATTTTGTTAGTTCTAAACAGTAAACAAACGTTAACTCATCCAATATAATGGAGAATGATAGATAACAAATTTATATCACTTTTAGAGTGTATCGGTGAGATAGATTAGTAACCCATTCGTAAGCACAGACGCAGAGATCTGTGAGAGATGGCTCGTTACGAGCAGCTGTTGATCAAAATCTCGAGGAACGACCAGTAAAAAGTGTGCGAGCACTTTTACAATATTAGGGTTGTAAGAAATCGTGTAAAAATTTATCAATTAATTTTAAATAATGTTAGAGATGTAAATTTAATGTTATTCTTAAGAATGACACTGAAAAATGGTATGAAAGATAGCCAGAGACACTTGCTGAGACCAGAGACGCGTTCTGAAAAGTGCAAGCTTTGCATAAAGGTAATGAACTTGGAAGATTAAACTATTCCCAATGGATGTAGGGTAAATTAAGAAGTAATCCAGACTTTGCAAGAAATATTTGTTTTACTGAAAAATTGAGATTAACTCAGAATGGCATGATAAACAGCCAGAAATATCATAGTTGGGTATGGAGTAGAGATAACTCATGCAGAGGCTTTGAAAGGCGAAGACAGTAGAAAGTGAATGTTTTCACCAGATTCATCAGTGATAAGCTCACTGGTCTTTATTTTTTAAATCAAAATTCACGTAGCAGTGATTATGCAATTTGTTTGAAAAACACTTTGCCAAGACTTTTGCAAAGCAATTAAATACCTCGATAGAGTATGCGGTGGCAACAAGATAGGGTATTCGCTTACAACAGTGGCCGTCCAACTAACTGTCTCAACCAAATATTCCAGAAGGGATGGTTGAGTACATTGGCCTACAAAATCTCTGGACCTGACTTTATGTAATTACTGGTTGTGGGGCATTGTAAAGGAATATTAATACAAAGGGTCATCAATAGCTATAAAAGATATGATGAAGCGTTTTCGCCGAGAATCCACTGCTATCACACCTCAAAAGGAAAAAATGCACGGCCTTCAATGAGGTGCTAAATCGGGTGCCCTAATGCTGGAGGAAGAGTTTATATTTAGCAGTTACTGTATCTTTATTATTATATTATTATTGTAATAAAGGTACGTACAAGTACATCCGCCACATAAACGTGTACATGCTGTAACGATTCCCTTATTCGCCTGTTATGTATGACTATGGACGTGCCTCGTATCACGATTTTCCGATAACCGCAGCTGATGCCATACAGAGGCATCCCACTTTTTTCTTTTAATAGAGCTTTACTAGCCTTGGTATATAGATGAGCTCCTGCGCTTGAATGTTAACTCTTTTTCTACTATTTCTGCCACTCAATGCCGTGTTTTTGAAGTTAAACTTGACCTTGTTTGAGTCATTGGCTGCTACTACTGCTGCTATACGTAAAACACTGTTTATATATGAGATTATCGGCATGGTAATACTATGGATAAAAAATAGACACGTAAAAAACGAGTTCGCAGTTGTCTCGCTTAATTAACTTGATCAGCTTTTTTGCTTTTTTTGTATGTATTAAAGGCCGGGAAGCAGCTACGCCTTTTATCTAACACAGCTCATGGAGCTCTTGATCGCTCGATAGGTGAATGCATAGCAAAGTGAAGCAATGTGAATCTTGTCAATCTATTAGGCTATCTGGTAAAAATATAGCACCTAAGTATATACACGTGTATACTAGTAGTTTTTCACTTACTTCCAAAAGTAGGTGCTAACTAGAACGAAGTTCTTTATGTCGCATTACTCGGGGGGCTGGAATTTTAAAACCGACAGATTTTTTTTTTTGAAACGAAAGTGGTTTACCCGGAGTCTCTTCCTCTCAAGTTTCCCCCTTACCCCGTCTCCCCCCTCACCTACTGTTCTTTATACACTTCCCCTGTCCCCACTATATATGTATACCTGCCAACGGTGCCGTGTTACTTTTCTGCATACCTTAACCCACCATTCCCCCTCCCATTCCCAAGCAATTAATTTTTAAACAAATTTTAACTTTATTTTCCCACAATAGTTTTTATTTCACTTTGAATTTTTATCTTTTACAATTTTAAAAAAAAAAGAAAAAAATAACATTTTCCAATAAAGAGATTTGAACCCTCGACCTCCTGCATATGAGTCCATTACCTTACCCACTCTGCTACGTTTAGGCTGCATCAAACACGGACAATAAGTAATACTATGAATGTTTTATATATTTTATAACTCTCCTGGAGAGAATTAGGAAGGAATAAGGACGCGGTAAAAATGCTCTTGCTGTCAGCATCGCTAGTGCTTTCGCGTGAACGATTTCGGAAAGGTTTTTGGGTGCCTATGAAAGGTGTTCTTATCTTGTGTTTCTTAAGTTGATTCCTTTTCACGGAGACTAGTTGTTTTCTCTGTTATCTTTTCGTTGATTCAATGGTGGTTATCTTAATCACAAGATCGTGACCAATATGATTTTTGCGAAGAGGAGTAAAGGAAAGGTATGAAGCAAATGGATGGAAAAACGAAATTCAGGGTACGAGCCCAAAAGTTATCTCTATTTTTTTTATATGTATATATTAGTACCAAAAGCAAACATGAGAGACAAGTACTCCAAAAGTAAAGTTAAATTTGTTGTTTATTAAATTTTACCTATCTTAAAATATTACAAGAGGAACCTATCTCTTACAATGATAAATAAAGCAAGTCTCGTGCGACATAAATACATTTGTTTGGCGTTACAGAAGGACATTGCACTACAAGGTACGAGCCTACCATTCGCTATCAACGCCTTGCTGGAACTGCTGCTCTAAGCTGATTTTCGCTCGCTCATCACCTCGGTTTTCTTCCACTTGGTACAATGCCTCTCCTTCTTTTGTAGAGGTGAAAAATTTTAGTTTTAACACTTTGTAAACGAAATTCTCCGTTATAAGTGGGTCAGATATTGGTTTTCCTTGAAAAGGAAGCCCCTGGAGGTCAAAGCGCAACCATTAGAATCTACTATTTATTTTAAATAGTTAAAAATTGGTTTTTTGACATCCTTGGTATGTATGCCATGGATGAAGCCTGGAAAAAAAATCTGTTATTTTTTGACAGAATTTAAACCTACGATCCCTTGAGTTCCTCTGACTAGGAGGCTAGCACGCTAACCACTAATATTCGACACAAGTATCTGAAATGTTTGTTCCAGATTTAAACATAAAACGTAAATTTTCATATGATTTTTATGTAAAGTACTATCTATAACAATGTTTAATATATAAATTTAATACTTAGTTCCAGACTTAACCAACTTAATCTTACTTTTTCCTTAGACTTACAATTTTTAAGCTGACAACTGCATGACTCTCAAAAAATTGATTTTCAAGCTTTTGTACTGAGAAGTTTCTCACGTCATTGGCACCTCATCTAAACGGGTACACTATGTCTCGCTTTGGAAGTTGTCTGGCATTAAATATAATTTTTTTATTTACATTGAAAAAATATCACACAAATAGAAATTACAGCTCCAGAGCAGACTTTCATGGGTGCTCTTGGCTCAAAATTAAGTTTAAACGATTTCGCTGAAAAAGAAAAAAATTTTTTTTTCAATTTTCCTGTAGCGCAAATAGTTGAAAGTCTTAAAGAGTAGGTATCAACAATTTTTCTTTTAGCAACGCCTATGTTTAAGAGACTACATTTTTTATTTTATTTTGTAATCTTGTCCATAAAATTTAGTTTATACTTGTCTTTGAAACTCGCTTCTACGCTAATGCTAACCAATTTTCTATATAATAATAGTCTCAAATCTTGACATCACACAGTCATACTCATAAGACAATCGTGGAAAGTACCTAATAAAATAGAATTCTCAAACCTAAGGGCACTTTTTTTCTTAAATAGACTCAAATTACGGAGCATACTGTTTTGATTAGTCTTAAATAGAACTATGAAACAAGATTGTACATTTCTTGTACGATATATATCGCTACAAATTTATTTTTGAAGTTTAATTTTCTTATTTAAATATTTAAATACAATGTATCACATAGTAACACAATTGAAACTAATTTCAGCTATTAGATTTATTTACATTAAGTCAAGAAAAAGAGCTAAGTACTAATCATACTGGAGAAGATGAGTATAAAACAAAAGTAAGTGGATCATCGAGCATCAAGCGCTCCCTTTTAGAAAGTTTACCTGAACTGTGGGAACCAAATCAGTACGACGATGAATATGATTTGGATGTATTTTTGTCCACTTTTAAAGATACTTGCTAAGAAACTACAAGAAATTCAACTAAAACACTAATGAGCCAAGTATTTGGTTGCTCAAGATTTGAATAAATGTAAAATAATTGTTAAATATAATAATCTTATACAAAAACACACTTGTTTATGTACATACTTTGCTATTGCATATTGTAAACTCCTTTCTTACTCTTCTTTACCATGTAATGTTACTGGTTTAGGGGATTGTCACAGCCGCAACACAAGTAGACTGCTCGAAATAATTGTTTACCTGCTTCCCACTACAAAAATATTCTCCGTATCTTATACATGACGTGAAATTATTGTGTAGTATTATAAAGGTTTTACAAGTATGTTACAATGTTGGGCCAAAATATTAAAAATGTAACAAAATAATTTATTAAACTTATATTATAAAACGCGTATGAGCACTTCAAATCTGGTCTGGTTTAAAAAATATCGGCTTCTGGAGCACGTATCTATTGCTGTTTCTTAAAATAAAAGAAGCNCTTTTTACCATTTGTTAACAAAAATTACGTAAAGATATTTAAAACCGTACAGTTGGATTCTAAAGTGGCATTTCTTAATTAGCTGATAATTCTATGACATGACTGCATAATGTGTAATTAATGCTCTATTATATATTATCCGTAAAATTTTGGTATCTAAATTGAGAGTGGTCATTAGTGTCCAGAATTATTGCTAAGCGAATCCTTGGTTCCGACGAAAGTTTTGCACAAATTTATAATCTTGTTTCTGTTACTACTGTTGTTGATGGTCTCGTGCAAGAAAAATCAGCTAACTCTCAGCCCACATGTAATGTATTTTGAAACATCTACAATGAAAAATGGCCTTCTTACAACCTCCAGGGATTCATGCAGATAAGAGTTGCGTGCCTATCAAAAATATCGCACGGTAGATCCTTAGACTCGCAGAGTTACCTGTACGATATGCTGACTTATCAAGGTAACCACTGGCTCTAAAACGTTCTTTTATTTCTAATATAAACCAGGGGCGGGGTGGTGACGCAACTCCTTGCTCCCCAGTAGGGTGCTGACGTCCAACTCGGCGAGTATAATACTGCAGAAGGCGGAAAGCAACTCATCGACATCAGCATACTGTCTTTAATAGATCGATGAGAAGTAGGGTGAAAAAGAAGAGCAGAAAATCTCTGGAAAAAGTTTTCGAAGATAACGAAAGTTAGGCAATGACTCAACAACGGGCTCGTGTAGCTGGTGGAGATTCAGCCATGGCTGCTTGTATGGGGTAACTAGAGCGGTGGAGCGTTTTACTTTGGCTTCGGAATCAACCAATAGAACATTGAGTCAGCTATGGGAGAATTCATAATAATGAGATACTTTTTGGTACCAAGAGAGAGAGAGAGAGAGAAAGAGAGAGAGAATAAGGGAGAGAGAGGGAGAAAAAGGAATTTTTATTGTGATTTTAACATAATTTATTGGTGTCTATGTAGCAAAGGCTAGAAAAAACATAAAATTGCAAATTAAAATACAAATAAAACCAAAAAACTGCTACGTTTGTACATAAATTTCAAAAGACCTAGATTTAAATACCTTAAATACATAGTTTATTTAAAGTCTTTACAAACAAATAATAATTTTACGATAAAAACTTGATTAGATCTTTTTGCATAAATAATTGTTGTAACGTCCTCATTAAAAACTCAATACAGTTCCCAATTAGTGTCATAATTTGTTATTTGTAATACTAACATTTTGGGCGTGACTTATAACATTATGAAATTATTAAATAATGAATTGCATGGCACTACAACACCCGCAAACCTGGTTGTTGTACGTTTAACCGTTTTTGCACAATTGAGATTGTTTCTAAAAAAAATGATTGTTTAAAAATTAATTTTTTCAGTTGATGGCATCCTACAGTGTCTAACGGAAGTTCATTTTATTCATGAGGAGTTGTAAAAAATATCTCTCATGGATGTAATTTAATTTTTGCAATAGATTTATGTTAAAATAAGCTGCAAAAAAAAGCTAAATTGTAAATTAAGTATTATCAACAATGCAAGTGCAATCGCTATCAAACCTTTTCTATTAAAAACGCTTAATTTTTCCGGAAGTAAAAAAAAAGCCCTACCTATCTTGCCCTCAAAACTGCTATAGTTTTTAAAAATAATCTACACGTGTTTTTCCTTTTTTCTTACACATTAAAATTGAAAAGAAAGTACCTGCAAATCGTGGTTTTTTTAAAGTTACCGAAAATACCTGTTATGTATGTAACATTGTATAGGATACATAACACATGACTTCTACAATAATGTACGAAAATAACTAGCCCAGGAGCATAAAAAACAATTTAAAACTGTTATTGATACAGCGTTTTAAAAAAAGTATTGAACATACACATAACCTAAAAAATGTATAAAAAGTTATATAAAATTCCCTTAAAGTTAAGCCTTGTCTCCATTATACCAAAACTGAGTATTCCTGAAGGTTTTAAGAAAAAATATTTATTTTTTCTCGAGTTATAGTAAAAAATCAGAATGACTGTTTTTCACGTATGTTTTTATGACGTCACATACACAAGAAATATATCTATATCTATAAAAAGTGGAAACTCTTTAAGAGGCTGTATCTTGTAGGGTTTTCAATTAAAAAAAAAAAAAAAAAAAAAAAAAAAAAAAAAAATTTTTTTTTCAATTTTCCTGTAGCGCAAATAGTTGAAAGTCTTAAAGAGTAGGTATCAACAATTTTTCTTTTAGCAACGCCTATGTTTAAGAGACTACATTTTTTATTTTATTTTGTAATCTTGTCCATAAAANACATTTTCCAATAAAGAGATTTGAACCCTCGACCTCCTGCATATGAGTCCATTACCTTACCCACTCTGCTACGAGCGCTGCCGGCTATAAAAACTCGGTTTCTTGTAGTTAAGTATAATACTCCATTTTTATATTCATTCACTGATTATACATTCAATTCATGATAAATTATGTATTTGTTTTCTAAATAATACATCTATAAAAAAAAAAAAAAAAAAAAAAACACGTATTGATTATTTTTCAATACTATACATGATAGACTTGATGGAATTTTTCACGCAAAATCCTGATCGTATTATGATTATTCCATCACTACTAAGTTGCTGCTCCAACGCAATAATACTACTAATATTAAAAATTATACTTTCTGGTATGAGATTATGTTATTTACAGATTGTTTAATGATTAATTTTTTAGCTTGACTCAAGAAGATAACAGGTAATTTAAGGCAGAGAGGTGATACATTAGTAGGAATACGTTCTTATGATCTATCAAAAATGGTTAATTAAAAGAGGCTCATCAGTGTCCGCGAATGACCTTTAGACCAAAAATAAAGTGTACAGAAATTGATATTTTTGCGAGCTATCCCAGTTAAAACAAAAAGTAGTTCTACGATCCACGAAAGCCGAGATATAAATAATTTTACGACTGCAAGCGTTTGAGCACACGATATTAGATTCTGCGTCAGCAGTGCGCAAGCAGCTTCAAAAGAGGGTGTTTCTACGAGCCTTGGTCGGGACAGTCACCACGCAAGTGACACTCATTTTTACATTGTGTTTTCGATGGAAATTGGCAGTTAATGATTATCAAATATTTTTTTCTTTACAATATAAGTATTAAAGAGTAATATGTCCAAACCCTCGCTGCTTATCTTAATTGATAAAACCGTGAGAGTTGAAAAAAATAATTATCTTAGCTTCGGGGGTCGTAGGGCTTTTTTTTCAATGTTAGAAAAAATTCAATTTTTTTGATGGAAAAGGTTTGGTAGAGATTGCCTCGAAATTGTTGATAATATTCATTTTACACACCTTAACATCAATGTATTGCGAACATTGAATTCATTCAATGAGAAATGTTTTGGACAACTCTTTACAAATAAAATGAGCTCCTGTTAAACACTGTAGGATGCCGTCCAACTAAAGAAATTAATTTTTTTTAAATCGCTGATTTTATAAACCATTGTAATTGTGCGAAAAACGATTTAACGTACAACAACTAAGTTTGTTGGTGTCGTAGTGCCATACAAGAGCTTTGATTTCCTTGTGTTTTCAGACATTTTAGATTTATTATTTATTAGTTATAAACACATTGAAAAAACTGCTATATTAGCGATTTTTCGCATTTTGCAACTAAAACAACTATATTATCGTAACCATCACGGCTTATTACGTACGTCTCTTAAGTACCTATATTTTTCAACCAAGGTACTTTTAAATAAACCCATCACTAAAAATGCTATGATCAGAAAAGTACTTTTTTTTGCCGTAATTCGGCTAAAAAAAAGTCTCACAAATAAATTCAGTTGTTTAAAATAATTTAATATCAATACTCACGACAAAAAGTTTTTAAACAGGCATCAAACTAACTTCTACACTTTGTTTTCAAAACGGGGGTCGGAGCTTCTTTTTTTTCTGGTCTATTAGAAAATCAGTATGATATAAATATAAATGAACTGTAGAAAACGTTTGATTTATTTATTGGATTAACATGGAAAGGTGATAACCACTAAATTATTAGAGGTGATAAATTTTGAGAAAATTGATAGCTAGTTTTAAAAAATTTTCAATAAAAAATGTAATAACAAAGTGCTAAAGATGCCAGTACTAGGAGCAACTAACCCAGTACTAGGTTAGACAGAAAAAAGAAACACCGAGAAAATAGGTAAACTGTAGATCTAAGGACTGTGAACACGCCTATCAGTGGTTTTAAAAGTAAGTTTATTTAAGGTGGCTTAGGGAATTTAAAATTACTTAAAGAAAGTCTAGAAAACTTGAATATTATATTAACAAAATATGCCAAATTCATTTGCAATAAAGAAATACTGAGGTTGGCTACATGATTTTTGAGAAAATTGCTCCTGAAAACTCATTTATTTTACGCGTATACTTACAGAAGTCGTTAGGAAATTGACCATAACTTAAAAAGTATGTGATGTGCCTAAAACAAAATAATTTATACACAAACTCTAGTTGTTACGGTATCTAAGGCCCAACTCCACTGTAAGGTAAAACAATTTGTGTTGATGTTATTATGTTATTTCAAGCGTTAACATAACCATAAAATGAAACTTAATAATTTTGGTGTCTATTTCCTGACAAGAATCTATTAAATGAAACGTAGATGGAAAATATAATACTTACTTAGTTTTGTTTTACATGGAAATATAAAACCCACTAAGATTTTCCATGAGATTATCACTAAATACGCACACTGTGCATACTACAGCACAAGTATAATTTTG